ATAAATCAGCAGGAATTATTTAGCACCCCATCTCTTGGTGTATAAGAATATTACTTCTAAGCACCCCATCCCTTCGTAAATAAGCATATAACTTCTTTCAAGTTACAAGGACTAATAAAATCAATTTCATATTTGAGGGGCCAAAAACTAACTTAATTCATATTTGAGGGATTAAGGACATATTCAAGTCAAAATAAAAAATGCAATTTTAACTATTATTGCGTAGACAAAGAATATGGCCACAGTAAGCTTTCCCATGCCTACAAACTGCAGCCCTATTCCCTAGTTACTTCCTAATAATTAATGCTGATATTTTTATTACCTCTAATTATTGAACTTTAAATCCAAAAACTTGTGCTAAAAACAGGTGAAGTTTGTGCATCCTAGTCAAATAAAAAATACAAGCCAAAAATCATATAAAACTTGCTTTATTTAATCATTCGTTATTGTACCCTAATTGTAAATTGAATATTCCACAAGGCAATTATCTCATGCAAGGCCTACATGGGTCTGATGAGATGAAAACTGAAGGTCTTAACTGTCAAACTGTGTCACAAACTACATCCCAAACTGAGCGTGAATGCACACATAGCAAGCACATCAAACTTTTCAAGGCAAAGAAAAAGAGGAATGAAACCACAATTAAATGAAATAAAAATTGCAAGCTTGATTGCATCAAAACAATAAAAACTTCAAAGACTAGCAGCTTCCATGCTTGATTATACCTTTTCAATCTCAGCATATTGAATTTTCTTCCCAAGCCCACTAATTTTTCCCGATGCTTCAGACTCTTTAAGGTGCATATCTCTTATCGATCCCAACTCTTCCAACTCTGATTCATACTGCTCTTTCTTTTTATTAAGTCCTGAAAAACAACATGGTTATTACAAGAGCAAAGGGTTTGAATTAATTTCTAAAGAATTGATAAAAACCTTCAATTTTCTTGTCATCCCACTGCTTTGACCTAGCTTCCATTCCACCACTAGTGCCTCCAGTCATTGTGCCAGATTTTGTCAGCAGAATACCATCAACGGTTACAACTAAGCAAAAAAAAAAAATACATGGAACAATGTTCACTAATTTGAATTCTGACAAGCGTGATTGTATTAAAGGCAACAGGAATGCATCACAAGCATAATAAGTACACAATAGGATTCTCCAGAAACCAAAAGGTTTGTTAGATAAGAAACAAAATTAAGTAAACAACAAAGAAACAAAATGAAAAAATCAGAGTCAAGTAAAAGTTATAAACCAAGTGCTAAAAAAGTAAGGATAACAAGAAGCCAGAGAGCAGAATAATGGGGATCAACAAGGAACATCCAAGTGCTGTCTTTAAGTTCTAATGACATATCAGTAAGAAGATACAGAACAGGTGGAGAATAGAAGGAAAAGATATTGTTACCTTTAAACCTCTCACCGCTCCAGCTTAAAATTTTGGCCTCCTCGAGATCATCACAAACAAGAGTATTCCCGACAGCAAAGAGAATTGCCTTCTCCAAGGAGGGATCAAACTTGCACTAGTTAAGTTGAAAAGCCTAAAGCACTTTTAAGTTCATTGCAAGTGTATAATAAGTGTTTAACAAAAAACATGCACATAAAACTTCATGGAGTATTCATGAAGAGGGAAAGAAGAGAAAATACAAGAATGATTTACGCTCAAAGCTTAACAGACCACCTAATTAAAATCCAAGAATGCATCTGACCTTATATAAATTATTAAGAATGACAATACGTACAAAACAGCATTTTGATCAGGGGAACTACTGAACAAAATCTGCACATCCGGGAAAAAAAAAAAAAAAAAAAACTATATATCCAATTCCAATTAGGGAGTGGATTTGATTTTAGTGAGCAACAGGAAATAGCACCAACAACAGAAGCAAAAGAATAAAACAATATGCAAAAGGATGGGTGAGGACAATGAAATAAACTAATAATAACAAACTGACAACCTACCAAAATAATTGCAACCAACAAACTTTAATAATTAATGTAAAAATCACAGCAGCTCTACACATCGCATCACAATGACAGACAAGGCTACACCCACTCATAGAAACAGCCATGTGCATGATTTGTTTTTTGAAGAATACACATTCCTTTAAGCTTTTGAACACAAAATTCAAACCCTTTGCTCTTGTAATATGCTATTACTACCAAATGAGAGGACAAAAAATTTCACTTCATAAAAAGGTGATGGGTGGTCAACCCATCCCCTTATTGTGTCTTCCCAGATTCAGAAACATAAAGTCATGATGGGAGATCAACCCGTTACCTTTTTGTGCCTTCCCAAATTCAAAAATTTTCGAGAAATGTTATGTGATTAATAGCAAATATTGCTAATTTTATAAATTAATGAAAAAAAATAAAGTCATGGTGGACAAGCTAACAACAGAAAGTAAATTTCAAGGAAAAATCCAGTTTCATTAAAACAAATTCAAATAACAAAAAATTGAAACTATTGCAAAAATGATCAGAATCAGATTCTTCAAAGCAGCCACTAGATAAAAAGGATATTGAATCACATCAAAAACCAGTTTCGCAGTACCCCCTAATGTGCGCAATCTTTCCATTATTGGTTTCACCCGGATTGACTCCAGAGGAATAAATGTCTGGGGAGGAAGCCTCTGATCTTTTAAATACTGAAGCAAAGAAATCAATATTCCAATCAATATAAATACATACAACAAAATCAACTCAATGAAACCAATCACAGAGCTTCAATGTTCAACAGGCGATATTGCAATTTTAACAACAAAAATCTAGTTTCAGCAAAAATAACAATAGTCAATGAAACAAAAATAAATAGGAAGCAATAGTTCTTCTGGCAATTTTAAACAAAAAGTTATTCTGGACTCCAGCAATTATAACAATCTGATCAACACAACCAAAGAGATGTGTCAAACATAACATAAATTTCACCAGAATGAAAGGTTACTGTAGTCATCAAGTATGAAAAAGCAACTAAATGAAGGTCCAGTAGCTTGAAGGCACTAAACAAGCTTAATGGTTGGGCATCTATTAACAAGGAATATGTAGCACATGACTTTCTGTGCTATTTCAGAAGTCCATGATAAATGTAATATTTATTTTTTTTCAGAGCTCAAGCTGTGTTCCTATGCATATACACCACCATACCAATTAATGTTTTTTACATTCTTTTCTTTTCTTTTTTTTCTTTTTGCTTATTCACCTTGTGCAATCACCAAGACTAGAGATCAAAAGGGCATTTAAATCAAAAGCAACAAAAACCCACAAAGAGTAAATAGAATCTGAGAGTTCTAAAACATGACTTTGTAATCATAAAATACAAACCAAAAAGCTAAATGGCAAAAAATAATATTAGGAAAACTGATTAGGACCTTGATGCATTCCTTCCCAGTCTTTTCATCTTTAACGACGACTGCATCCATAAATTTACCCATAGCAACAGTAACAGCTAGATTATACTTCTTCTGTGTTGGCCTACAAAGATCAGTCATGCGACCATGAACTCCTTGAAACAGGCGTTTCAGAGTCTCAACAGCCTGAGACAATTTAGCATCTCTCTCATTTTCATATCTATCAGCCTTTAATTCACGTAGTTGATTTTCTATTTCACCAATTTTTAACTTCAAATTTTCATATTTTTTCCTGCAGATCAATAGTAGCACATCATTTCAAAAATATTTCAATGTGGCATGAAGCTTTAACAATTTTCAAAAAAAATGTTGAATAACAAGTTAATTTACTTGGAATCACGATGTTTGTCCTGCATCACACGTAGTTCTTTTTCCAAGTTTTCACGCTCATCTTTATATTTTGTAGAATTACCAAGAATTTTTTTAAGCCTTGTCCTCATCTGTTCTTCCTGTGAATTCAGTTCAGACTCCCTGTTTCTTAACTGTTGAAGATTTTCTTCCAAATTTTTTTGAGCTTCACTATTCGCATGTTGTTGCCTATCAAGAAGCTCTTTTTCCTCTTTAAGCTTTGCTGTTTTCATCCCAGCTTCCTCTTTGCTGTAATTGAGACATTATTATAACAAGTTCCAAAACATAAAAATTTAATAACAATTGAAAAGTGAACATGCATCACAACTACTAAGTACTGATGACTACATTTTTAATTCCTCAGTGAGAACAAATGGGCTAGCAGAAGACAGAATTGATGAAATGATAACAAAGCAAGTACTTTGTTTTCTTAAAAAAACTGAAAAAGGAAAAATAATACACAGAGATAAATATATATATAGACATATAGAGAGAGAGAGAGGCAGCAGTAGGCAAACAACTACAGCAAATTAACACTTACATTCGAAAATATTTTTCCAAGTCATCGTCATCCAATTGAAGTTGATCACCAACATCACGACCCTTTTCCTGTAGGTCTGCCATTTTTCCTGTAAGATCCTGGATGCCATTCTGCAAGTCTGTTATAACAGTGGCATGCTTCCTCCGTTCTTCCTCTTTTTTATCAAGCTCTTTCTTCCCTTTTTTAATTTTTGAATTGATACGATTCATTTCCTCCTTTAACTTCAGAAGCTCAGGTTGCTGCAAGAAGAGCAGAAAACCAGAGAAACAATTCCATAACTACTCAGTGCATTAAGAGCATAATAAATACAATCAACAATAAGAACAACTAAGAACTTAGCAGGATGATTTCAGGTACTCACAGCTCTTTATCTATTTTTTTTGTCTAAGGAATTGCCATCTTCTTTACCACTCATGCTATTCCCAGATTAAACAACCATTTTCCAAACTTCAAAATTAAAATTTTCAACCCAGTTTTCTTTACATTAAATATGAGTAAAAGCAACAAAGTTAAAAGAGTAGGTCATAGAATCAACCTATGCAAAAAAGTTCAATGGCTGGAGTTGGTAATAAAGTGATAACAATGATCTTAACTTATAGTCCCCCCAGCTCACCCCACCCTAGATGTAGAAAAAATATACTCACTCTCTTGTCAAGCCTGTTGCTTTTCTCAGTAATTTTCTTCTCACGTAGTGCAATCTCTTTCAGATATTTGGCCTGCTCTTTTTTCTTTTTACCAGCTTCACTTTCAAAATACTCTAGTTCTTTAACAACACCTTCACGACTTTTTTTCTCATCTTCAAGATCATCGGCTGCTTTAACATAATCATTTTCTATATTAAACAACTGCCACAAGAAATGTTCTTTCTTCACGGATTTCTGCAAGAGAAAAAACACATATTTGAGGAATTCACCTGCCATAAACAATCCGATCAAGATCAAGAGAGAAAATGCATGAAATGATGATAGTTGCACACATAACTACTAGTTGAAATATGAATTAAAAATTCTTCCCAGGAATATAATTATATCTTCTCTTCAGTAGGAAGTAAATAATATCTATATATACTTTATCAAACATACTGCAGTGGTATAGTTAGCCACCAATTCCAACCACTGTAGGGATTTAGAAAACTCTGGTAGAGAGCTTATGTATCAAAAAAAGTATAAACTATACACTCATGATCAGCTTAAGCAATTCCAAAGAAGGGGAACAGAAACAGAGGACACGTAGATGCTACTCAAAGTGGCACCTACAATTTGTTGTCCTTGGCATTCGGATCTTCAAGAGAAAGTTCCCCTTTCAACTAACTATCTCTATCAAGTACCCAACCAGGTCAAATGGAGCAATGGAGGTGAGAACTCAAGAAAGAAGTGAAGCCGTAGAAGCATTGATGCAAGCAGTAGGAAAACTAAAGGTGAAACTCTTTCATTTTACTTGATATAGTTAATAGAAGTACAATAAAAAGGAATATCAGGGCATACACCAAGCATGCAGAATTACATCAAACAAAAACAGACCAATTGAAACCGCAGGCAACCTACACATGTATCATGCTCAAATTGAAACAGATTCTGTTACCAGTTGCTCTTGCAGGCGGATATGCTTCTCTGCTTCTTCCTTCTGTTCTTTTTTCTGTTTTCTTTCCAAAACCACCGTCTTTTTCTTCTGATAAACAAGTGCCGATTTTTCCTCAGCAGCACCTTTTTCCTCCTCAAACTTCTCATAATCTCTCTTGAGCTCGTCTGAGCCAGATATCTGCTCAACCAGAGCAGTGAGCTCTTTGGGATTCTTTGATGCAATGGACTCCACGTCACCCTGCACAACTTAGAATTGTCAATTGAGAACTGTAACAGATATAGGCCCTGTTTGGATAGCGGAGCGGCCACTGGTCGCTACAAGGGCCACCATAGCAAAGCGTTTTAGTGTACCAGCTGTAGCAGACCAAATGGTGAGCTGAATAGCTGCTGCAGTAGCAGCCAGTGGTCGCTACAAGGGCCACCATAGCAAAGCGTTTTAGTGTACCAGCTGTAGCAGACCAAATGGTGGGTTGAATAGCAGCGCTATCTGCTGATTCCAAAAAAGTCCTCTGAATAGAGAGACATTAGGGCTTTTCAGGAAAACTATTTTGGGATTCTAGTTTCCAAATAATGAACTTCAGAGCCGAAATCGCAGAGGAAATGATAAAAATAAAATAAAACTTAAATAATGATTGATGATTCCTATTTAAGAAACTTGTATTTGACTTCTGTTAATAGTTAGTTGTATATTTAACATACCTATGGCTTTTTATTGTTAATTATAAATGTCGTGAATTTTGAGTAATTTTTCTTAAGAATTCATATGTATGTAATGTAGTAGTACACAGCCGTCTCACTATCCAGCTCTATCGCCTTTGCGACAGTCACTTACACAGCTTCTCCATAAACTTACACATAAGCTAAAATTAGTTTATACGTAAGTTAAAAATAAGTTTTTAAAGAAGCCAATAAAAGATGTTCTATAAAATTGTTAATACATAAGCTAATTTAAGCTCATAGAAAAGCTCGTTTCATAGTTGTTTTCTTCAAACACGCCCTTATTCTTACCTCAGCTGTGGGAGAATTCAAACAGAGATCTTATATAATAAAAATTAACTGCATACATACAAGGAAGCAAAACCGAAGCAGAAAAATTGAAGCAGACCTGAAAGACCAAGAAATTGCGAGCTTTGACGAGAATCCCGAGGGACTTGAGTTTGGCGTTGTAGCTGTCCCAATTGACGACGGCGCCGTTGATCCGGTACTCGCTGGCGCCGGCGCTGGTGATGATGCGGGAGAATTGGATCTCTTCGGAGTTGGCGAGTTGGTACACGAGGCGAACGAGGGCTCTGCGACCTTTCTGCTCCTTGTCGCGGTCGTCGAAGGCGTAGATGAGGTCCTTGAGCTGCGCGCCGCGGAGCTGGCCGGTGCGGACGCCGAGGACGAAGCTGATGGCGTCCATGAGGTTCGACTTGCCGGCGCCGTTGGGGCCGATGATGGCGGTGAAGTCGAAGAAGGGACCGATTTGTTGGAAGCCCTTGTAGGACTTGAAATCCTCCACTTCCAGACGGAGGATCTTCCCCGGAGAGAGCAGCGACGGCATGGCTGCGAAACCCTAACTGAAAAGTGCGGTTAGGGTTTGCGAATTGAAAGGAAGAGGGGGAATTTTGGCGGGAGTGAGAAATTGGGAACGAGAGAGTGTGTGTTACTGTTACGTAGCAGAAGGAAAAATAAGTGAAACAAATGCACTATGAGGAATCTCTTCGCCTTTTCTGCTTGCTCACGTCATCGTCGCTCTTTGCTTTCAAAGCTTATGACCAAATATTTTTACTATGCTTCATGGCGGGATACTGTTTCAGTGTTTCACATCCATGATCCATATCTATGTTTTTTACTTACAAGCCTCTAAAATTAAGAAAATCCTACTTAAATAAATTTTAAAGTATTTAATTACTTTATGTAGGTCAATTTTTGGCTCATATGGTCCTTTCAGACATTGTCATGTTGGCACAAGGCTGAATTTAGACATGCTATTTACCACGAGGCAAGTCTTGCGTTAAGCTGTAATTTTTTTTTTTATTTATATATTATAGTCGATTTTTTTTTATTTAACAAATATGGTTTGATTAACCGGATTTGATTATTTAATTTTATATGTAAAAATTTAGTAATTGATTACATATTACAAAATACTTTTAAAAGGAAAGTCATTCGTTCAGTTTTAATTGATTACAACAAAATGGTAATTGATACAAAGGTTACAAAATGGTAATGATACAAAGGTTTTCATTGTTTACAAATTTTTTATTCTTCTTGTTTTTAATCAATTACATAAAGATAGAGTAGCTATTCGACTTAAAATTATTATAATTTTCATTTATTGAAGTTACTTATGTTGATGTTATTATACATTATTCATAATAAAAGAATTATAAATATATAAAAAATAATGTAGTTTACAATGAATTATACGGAGTGATGTGAATGATGTAAAAATAATTTATTTCTCGTGTATTATTATTTAATTTATTTGCATTATTAAGAATGTTTATGCAAATACTTAACTCTTCATTCAAAATTATTTAATGTTTAACAATTAATATGTGATTTTAATAAATTAAAGAGTAGTCATAACATCTTTAACTTATTATAATTATATATTATTTCAAGGTCACATAAAAAATATTAATTGTAATTAATATACATGACGTGATAAAATTTACCTATATGAATTTGATTACACTAGTATAATTACTTAGGATAAAATAATAAGTTTTTTTTAAAATTTACCTATACGAATTAAAAAATAATAATAATTTAATAGTTTTTTTTATAAAGCTATATGATGAGTTTAAGTGAGTTGCAAGCAAGTTTTATGCCACTCTATTCATAAATCAAGACATGTTATGCATTGGTAAAACATGTCATTCATTTTAGTCTCAATTTGTAAATGATCATGATAATGTATTTTTTGAATTTTGTAATTTCTCAATTTCAAATATTCTTGATATTAAATGTGATGTTTTTAAATTAAGGGGTGATAATTACAAGGTGTGGAAGGATATAATTCTTCTTCATTGGACTAGTTGGACATTGATTATACTATTTGAAAGGATAAATCACCAAGTATTATTGAAACCAACATTCCAAATGTTGTTGATCTATATGAAAAGTGAGAATGGTCTAATTGTCCCTCTATTATGTTCATAAAGACCAACATTTTGTTGGTATCCAATGTTCTATTGACTAGCATGAGAATGTCGAAGACAATTGATGAACAATTTGCTTCATCTAACAAGTCCCTTGCTAGTACCCTTATTGTGATGTTTTCATCCATGAAGCTCACTGAGATAAAAAGGAGTGTGTGATCATATCATGCACATAAGGGATATAATGGCTCAATTAAAAGTCTTGGAGGTTACCATGTCGAAGTCCTTCCTAATACACTATATTTTGTGCACCTTGCCTTATCAATATACCCCATTTAAGATTTCTTATAACACATAAAGATAAATGGTCTATTAATTATTTTTTGACAACTTGTGTTTAAGAGGAGGAGAGGTTGGCATGAAAGAGGGGCAAAAAAGTGAACTCGACTACTTTTGTGAAGAAATTAGTAAATGGAGAGGTACTTAGTACTTTAGACTTTATTCATTTTGAGACTTGTGTTGACTGCATTAAGGGTAAGCAAACTAACTGTTGAGTCTGTAACACCTTGATTTTCACAGATTATACGAAGGCTCAAAGCCCAATAAGGGTGATTTAGTAGCCCAGAACAGGTCATTCCCAAACTGGAACGGGTCGTTCCAAACTACTAAAAGACCTATTTTTGGTAATCCAGAATGGGCCGTTCCAAACTACTAAAATGGCATATAACCCTAGTTGGGAACGGGTCGTTCTGGTTTAAGAATGACTCGTTCCAAACATGGCCGTTATGAGTTAATTCTAACCCTAGAACGGACCGTTCTGGTTTGAGAACGGGTCGTTCCATATGTGAATTTTGCACATGATGAATGAGTCCAGAACGGGTTATTCCAGATTCGAAATGGGTCGTTCTAGCCACTCTTGACATCTATAAATAGCAGACTCTGTGATGGAGAAGACTAGGAGAAATGATGGATGAACTTCTCCTTGCATTCACCAAGCGTAGGATCAACTCCTTGGAGATTTAGACCGAATGGATGAAGCTTGAATTGAAGGAAGATTTCGGATTAAGGTAGCCTAAACTAAAGATGGAAGCATCCAAGCTTAAGCAACAAGAGATTGCTCACTTCAATGGTGGGAAACTAAACAAGGTTCCTAGGGTTTGAAGGCACTCTCTCTCTCGGTGACTCTTGAAGAATTTGACTAAAGATAATATTCAGAAATTCAATATATCAAAAGTGAATACAAGATGCTAGGAGGGAAGCTTTTATAAGACCGGATTTAGGAAACACTTGGCGCCAATGTGGAGGCTTCACATGTGGCGCCAAGATTTGAATTCAAATTTGAATTTTGAATTCAAATCTTAACCCACATGTGCATCACCAGATTCCAAGGGGCTAAGTGCATCTAGGTTTGATTTACTTTACATTTAGGGTTAAATTTGAGTCACACATGTTCAGCCAAGGTGGCGCCAACCATGTGACTCAAAATGTAAGCTAAATTAAACCTAGTTTTGCCTAATCCTCTTAAACAAGTATTCCTCCCTAAATCCTATACTAATGACCTAAATACAATGGTCAATGAAATACAATGAATAGGAAAAATTACAAGAATGAAAATGAGCCCAATATTGGGTGTCAAAAGCCCAAAGGCCCATGAAGCCCAATTCTAGGCCCTATATGCCCAAAGCTTACAATTCCTAATCTATGGTCCAAAATACAAGACCAAAAACAAAGTAAATTCCTATTCTATGAATATGCAATAAAAAGTGGTGTCAAATAAGTAAAGCCCAAGTGAGGAGCACCCTAGGCCCACCAAGCCCATTGGGCCCACTAAGCTCTGAAGCAGTCAAGTCTTCAAGTAATCTCCTGGCCATTGCTCTAGTGGTTGGACCATTGGTCCATGCTCTTCCATCACTCTGGCACTACTTCTGGACACACTCTCTGAAGACCAAGGAGAACCAAGAGAAGGAGATCAACCAGATTCTGCTCTAGCTTCGTCTTCTACTTATCCAGGTAAGGGGGGAGTGAGAAACCTCGCTCTGGGTGTGGGAATATATGTTGGGTAGTGGGATTGACCCCAATTCTATGTTTGTTGTATGCTCATATATGAGGGGTTTTTCCCAATTATATCTATTTCATCTGTTGCTCTTCTTATATGTAAATAACTGTATGATTGAGATCTCTATGGGTTCTTATGGGAAACCCTAAGGGAATGCATTAGTGATTGTAAGAGGAGATTGTTTAAGAGACAATTATATGAGTAAATTGTATTATTTTAAATGTTTATTGTATGAATTAGAGTGATTTGTGAGTTCTGAGAGAACCCTATGAGAAACAGACAAAATATGAATGTTTTCTATTTTTCTTTCTGATTGTTCTGTTGTATTCCTTGTTAGATGAGATGTACGAATATGTGTTTAATTTCGCAAATAGTAAAGTTTTGATATGAATTAAAGTGCTAAGTGAAAACTATGTGAATGTGATGTGATAATGTGAAAAGTGAATATGAGACATGAGATATGGGGTTATATGATAACGAGACATGATGATATGATATGATAATGAAACATGACGATGTGATATGAAAATGAGACATGATAATGTTATATGATAATGAAACATGATAATGTGATATGAGAATGCATAGAGTCTTGATTGACATGCATCATTTGCATAAATGTTTTTAATGGTACGATATGGAATACACTACCATGGAAAGCCCCCTTGTGTAAAAGCTTGGGGATTAGTCTTTGAGGATAGCTCGGTTTGGAAGTCTCAGTCTCGCCCATTGTGTGCATGGGATGTATCTTGCGCGGCTTAGTTATCTCGACTAGACCCTGATAGTATGTCCTTCTAGTGAGAGTGCGTAGAGGGTGTGACCCGGCATGTACTCCTAGACTACTCTTGTATATTGCTAGCGGCAATACGCCATGTGATATGTGTTATTGGGGCCACATGCATGATAATATGTAATTCGTGTCCATTACATGTGCATTTTAATGTTATATGTTAAAGTGATTTTTATGCCTTTGATGAGTGGAATGTGATATTGTTGTTAATCTATCTATGATATGTACATATACATGTCTTCACTACTAGAAAATTACTGTTCTACATCGCTATATTTACATCGGTTATATTAGAACCGATGTAAATCATAAACGCGGTGGCAAACTTGTAAATAAATAGAAAATGTAAACATATTTACATCGGTTGAGGGAAGGAACGATGTAAATATGAGCAATTCTACATCGGTTTTATTATTGACCGATGTAGAAATTGAGACTCTGATATGTGCCCCGCATACCTTTTCATCTCACAATTAGGGCTTCTCCATCTCAAGCAGCGACGCTAACCCCCGCCGCCACCGCCGCTTCCTCCGCACCGATGACAACCTCTTCGTCGCCTCCAAGGCCTTCGCCTATTCTCATCTTTTCTGTTCGACACTGATTGCTGCTAAACGACGCCGCATTCGATTCGGAGCTCTACCAATCTGCCTGTCGTGCTGGGAAGGCCGTTTGGGAGGACCTACAATCGTCAGGCCTCGTTTGGAAGCCCCAGAACCGATCTTGGCCTCTCGCCGCCCCCGCTCTGTCTCCGTGTTTGGGCCTGAGTTTCTGGGCCGCGAGAGTGTCATGCTCATTCCTTGTGGCCTCACGTTGGGCTCCCACGTTATGGTGGTTGGGAAGCCGTTGAGGGCGCAACGGAGGACATGTCAGTTCGTGATGGAGTTGCAGGGGTTGGAGACCGTGGAGGCTGAAGACCCACCTAGGGTCTTGCATTTCAATCCCATGCTTAAAGGGGATTGGAGTGGGAAGCCTGTCATTGAGCTCAACACTTGTTATCGCATGCATTGGGGTTCTGCATTGCATTGTGATGGTTGGAAATCTAGAGTTGCTAAAGATACTAGTAAGAAAACGTATGTTTTTTTCATTCCACATTCCACTCTGTCACCTTTTTAATAAGCAATTTCCTAATAAATCCTTTACTCAAATTGCGTTGTGATGGTTGTGACATGTGTTTGATGCAGTGGATGGGTTGGTCAAGTGTGAGAAATGGATTGGGGGTGAAGAGACTGATAGGTCGGAGTTCTTCAAGAATTATTTCCAAAACCTGGAAGGCTTCAATTTATATATGCTGACTTGGGAGATCCAAACTCTGTATGCTTACACTCTTTGTTACAAAAAATACTTTGATGTTGCTTTTTTTTTAATTTTTTTATTGATGCATATAAACTGGTTAACAGGTTAATAAAATATTTTTGGAGAACAAATTTGATGCTGTGATGCACTTTGCTACTGTTGCATATGTGGGAGAAAGCACCATGGATCCTCTTAAGTAAGCACTTGTGGATTTTGTTTAGTCACATTAATCTCAGCTGAATAAGTTGTGGAAAGTAGCACTTGTGTTCAGTTTCTAATTTTCACCATCTATATCAAAGTACCACAAATCACAAATTTTCTTTTAGATGCACGTTGAGATTTTCAACATTATTTGAACTGGCACATAAATTTCTATTATGGTCTTGGCTTTGCTAATAAATTTCTATTATGATAATGCATTGAGTTTAATTATAATATATTTCTCTATTTATTGTTCGACATTGTGGAAATGAACTTCAAAGAAATGCATTATGCTATTGTTAATCTTTGTAATTAGATATGATTTTGCAGAGAGTTGGATAAATTGTTTTTATGAAAATGGTTAGTTATGGTTTTTGGTTTTACTTTACTAATTTAATATATTTGCATCTTTGTCGGGTATTATCAAAATATTACATCAAACACGTTGTTGGTATTGGAGAATATGGCTAAACATGATGTGAAGACATTAATATATTCTAGTACATGGGCTTTTGTGGATTGTACAAATATGTCTGTCCAAATTAATATGCATTTCATGTCTTTTTTATTCAGTGCCATCAACTTGCATGTTATATTTGCTTAAATGATATAGATTGTTGAGTGGCTGTGTTTGTTACTCTGTGCATAGGAAACTCTACATGATATAGACTCGTGCTTTGGACAAGGCTTCAAGGCTCCAAGGCTTCAAGTTGACAATGGGTATGTAATATTTGGCCATTAGCAAGACCTTAGAGTACTCATTGCCTAAAAATATGCAATCTTCTACGAATGGGCACATCATTTTGTTGTTTGTGTACAATGTCATCCTGATTGGCCACTTTATCTTTTCCCATTGATTTGATCATAATTGGCATCAGTGATTAATTTGAACAACATTTATGGGCTAATTGGACAGTAACTTGGATAGTTTATAGGAGAACATTTTACTGGTTGTTATATGTTGGTTTCCACTTTTTGGGTGGTCATAGTCTTATTCACAAAGAAAGCATTTTTTTTTTATTTTATATTTTCTTCCATTGAAGGATCAAGATTTTTGTTTACAATGGGTCATTGTACTTCAAGAAAATGTTCGACAAATTGTACCAGGTTAGCAGTGTTTTGAATTTTTGCTGATTACTTTTTTTTTATCACCTTTTGTCATATGTTAATGAATTGTATGCAAACTATTTGCAGGCTGATTGGAAACCAGAGTCACCAGATAAGTTTGGTGATATTGCCGAATTAATCAAGTCTCTAAATTTGGTACAACTTGAAGATAAAAAAACCACCAGGTTCGTTACCACGCCTAATAATATTTTTTGTTATGAATTATATCTTGTGTTATTTAAAGACCATGGACTAATTACAGGTCAAGGACCAAAATCAACTCAGACTTCTACAAAAGTCTCGTCTGCCAACCCCCCTACACAAAAACCTGTTGCATATCGTCCACCACATGCTAAGAATGCAGCTTCTATTCAGGTAGAGGTACACAGTCATAGAATCTATGTTGTCATTGTTTCTATTTTTAATGGTCAATATAAATTTTAAATGGTATAATTTATAGTTACAAAGTTTTTTGACTGTTGGTTAAATTGTTATGGAATATATATGTTTTTGTGTCTTGCCTTAAACTATTAGAGCTGAGTTTCATTGTTTAGGTTGTCTCTAATGATGCCAAAAATAAGCATGATTTTATTTTTTATTTTTTAAATGCAATCTACATCGGTTCTCAAGAGAACCGATGTAGATTTATGCTTAAATCTACATCGGTTTTTCAGAACCGATGTAAAAATGTATACATTTTTTACGTCGCTCTATTCTACATCGGTTTTAGAACCGATGTAGATGACTTTAGAGAACCGATGTAGAATATGCATCTTGTAGTAGTGCTTGTTTGTGTTTGGTTATCCGGTGTGTATTCCTACACCATGAGCTAGAGTGAGATGTTTCTCACTCCCTTTTCTTTTGTGTTATTTTCCTTTAATTGTTATACAGGTGATTAACAGCATGAGGCTGAGGATGTTGGTGACGAAGCTTAGGCTTCAATGTTGGGTTTTGCTCTGATAGGACATGTGACGTCGGGGCGTGGATAAGATTAGATTAGGATGTTGTTTCTATTAAATTATTTTGAAAACCTTAGCCTTATTTCTTTTGTAATTTTCGCTAATTATGTTATTTGTTTAAGTCATGGATGTGGTGCTCTCTATCTGAACACGTTTGGTATTTCAATTATGAAAGATTGTATTATTCAAATTTTATTCTTTATGTGTTATGGTATGCGGGGTAGAGGGTGTCACAGAGTCAAAATACAATATTATATCCCTCAAGTTTTAATAATAACAAACAAAAGATTTTCTTTTTAAGCAAAGTCAAAAATCTAACTATATAAAACAAAATGTGAAAAGTATATATCATCTGTAAGATGAAGAAAATCTGATAAAACATATATAGTCTATCTCATTGCATAAAATGTATACTTCCAAATAAGACTAACATTAAATTTCATAAAATGTATTATTCATTAACAGATCAAACAAGAAAAATGTCTTATAACTATCAAAATTTGTTGAAGAAGAAAAAAATAAAATATCTGTCAAAAACAAAAAGTAAAATACTGGATATCACAGAAAAAAACTCTACAAAATACTATTTTGCGCTAATATTGTTTTTGCCATACTCAAATTAGAAGGAAATGATAATAAGTAATCTTTTAGATCAAACAAGAGATACACACTTTGCTAAAAGGTATTTAATGCTTGCATTAAATGCATCAACGATAACCTTTAAGATCAGCAAAGAAGAAAGACGAAACAACTCTTGAAGCATATTGTAAGTTCAACTTAAAGTTATTGTAACGACCATCTTCTTTGAAGCTATTATAAAAGGATCAAGCCTTCAAACAACAAAAAGAAAATAGCTGTGAGAAAAAGGGAAGAAAAGCAACACATACAAATCAAAAGTGATAAAAGCAATACACATTGATAAATTTGTATAAAAATACATACAAAAATACACAAAGCTGAAAAACTACAAAGAAACATTTTCATTGTAAATCTTGTACATATTTATTTGTAGAATACTTGTTCTTTCATTGTTGATTACATCACATCTAAAAGAGACAAAACAATTCTGTAATCATTCACTACCTTGTTATAAGGGTTGAGCGTGGAGAGACTTGTGTGAAAAAAATACATAGTGCTTGAGCCTAGAGAGACTTGTTTGAAAGAATACTTGGTGTTAAGTTTAAAGAGGTTTGGTTTAAATAATACTTAGTGTTTAAGTCTGGAGAGGCTTGGTTGAAATAATACTTGGTGTTAAGCTTAAAGGGACTTGTTGTTCAAATAAAAATTGGGTAATTGCTTGAAGAGGTAAATAAAAAATTACTTAGGATTGAGCAAGAAGTGATTTGGTTAAAGAATACTTATAACTTTGTAAAAGTTGGTGGAACTTAATCTAGTTGGATTGACAACTAGATATAGTCTTGTGATTGAGACAAACCAGTATAAAAATCATTCGTGCTTCTTCAACGCTTTGTTTGATAAGTTATTTTCTTTTTACTGCACAAATATGTGAGTTTTTTATACACACTATTTAATCTCTATTCTAGTATGTGTCTTTTCTTCACACTAACAAGTCTAAAAATGTGCAAAGAGGAGATTAAACTTATTGAAAATCACACAAACAAATATATGTTGCTCAAACATGGACGCTAATAGTTTAAGATACTTTATCACCTTTATAGATGATTACTCGCGATATATGTATCTTTACCCACTTCGTTCTAATGATGAAGCTTTGGATACCTTTAAAGTTTTTAAGGTTGAGGTATAGAAGCAATGTGAAAAGCAAATTAAGATTGTGAGGCCAGACAGATGTGGAGAGTACTATGGTAAATATACAAAAATTGGAAAAATGCCCAATCCATTTGTGAAATTTCTCAAAGAACATGAGATTGTGGCCCAATACATTACTCTTGGTCTCAAGAACATAATGATGTGTTAGAAAAAAGAAATCAAACTTTAATGGATATGATGAAAAGTATGAGGAGTAATGCAAAACTTTCTTAATTATTGTGGATTGAAAGTTGAAACACTTAAGACAATTGCATATATATTAAACAAAGTTCCAACCAAAGTTATTTCAAAGACACCATTTGAGTTATTTAAAGGTTGGAAACCAAGTTTGTGACATATATGCATTTGGGAATGCCTGTCTAAACCGAAAATTTATAACCCACAAAAGAAGAAATTAGACCTTAGGACTATTAGTGCGCATTTCATTGGATATGTTGAAAAGTCTAAAGGTTATAGGTTATAGTGTACATCTCACAACACCAGGATTGTGGAATCAAGAAATGCTAAATTTCTTGAAAAATGACTTGATTAGTGGGAGTGATCAAATTCAAGATATTGGCTTTAAAAATGATCACCATCAAGATCAACCCTTTAGATCAAGTGATAGATTGGTAGTCATTCATGGCCCTCAAATTCAAGTGGGTGTGAGACAATCAATAACTAAAGTTCCACAAGTTGTTGAGCATGATAATTTAGATCAAATTGTTAGTGAGGAACAACAAGGTAATGTTGAATAACTTGTTAAAAAACTAGTTGAACAACGAGTTCCTCAACAGAATGATGAAACAACATTAAGAAGATTTAATAGAATAAGAAAGTCAACAATTCCTAGTGATTATGTAGTGTATCTATGAGAATCAAACTATAATATTGGAGTCAAAAATGATCTTTAAATGTTTTCATAAACCATAAGTTATAAGGAATCATCAAGTTTGTGGTTCAATGCCATAAGAGATGGGATCTCGTTGAGATGCCTAATAGTGTGAAAGCCATTAGATGTAGATAGATCTTTAAAACAAAGAAAGACTCACAAGGCAACATTGAGAGACATAAGGCAAAACATGTTGCCAAAGGGTTCACTCAAAGAGAAGGAATTTATTACATAGAGACCTTTTCTTCTGTATTTAAGAAAGATTCTCTTTGTGTGTTTATGAAATTAGTATCTCATTTTGACTTTGAGTTACATCAAATGGACATGAAAATAACGATTCTTAATGATGATCTAAAGGAAGAGGTTTGCATGAAGCAACTCAAAGGGTTCTTCCTTAGTGATAACGAACACTTGATAAATCAATCTATGGATTAAAACGAGCCTCTCACCAATGGTATTTAAAATTTCATGAAGTTATTTCTTTATTTGGTTTTGAAGAAAAATGTCATGGATTAATGTATATACCATAAGGTCAGTGAGAGTAAAATGTTTTATTGTTTTATATATGGATGATATTTTGCTTGCAACTAATGACAAAGATACACTATATGAGGTGAAATAATTTCTCTCAAAGAATTTTGATATGAAGGATATGGGAGAGACTTCTTATGTTATTGGCATTATGATCCATAGAGAAAGATCTTGCGGCATTTTGGGTTTGTCTTAAGAGACCTATATCAACAAAGTTTTCAAGAGATTTAACATGAAAGATTATTCACCGAGTATAACTCCCATTATGAAGGGTGTTAAACTTGATTTGAGTCAGTGCCCCAAAAATGATTTTGAGTTGGAACACATGAAGAATATTCCACATGCTTTAGTTGTTGGGAGCCTTGTGTATGTTTAGGTTTGCACCAAACTTGACATTACATTTGTTGTTGGAGTTTTGGGAAGATATCAAAGTAATCCAAGTGTTAACCACTAGAAAGCTACAAAGGAAGTAACGAGATATCTTTAGGGAATAAAGGATTACATGCTTATGTTCAAATGAACTAATGATTTGGAAATGATTGGCTACCTTGATTCAGACTATGCTAGGTGCATTGATACCAGTAAATCGACACCTGAGTATATTTTTATGCTAGCCAGTGGAGTTGTATCTTGGAGATGTGAAAAATAGACCTTGAATGCTACTTCCACTATGAAGGTGGAGTTCTTGTATTGTTTTTAGGTTATCTCACATGGTGTATTGTTTTAGAGCTTCACATATGGGCTTAGAGTTGTAGACTATCTATAGGCCATTGAAGTTGTATTATGACAACTCAGTTGCAATATTTATGGCTAAGAACAACAAGAGTGGAAGTTAAAGTAAACATATCAACATCAAATATTTAGTTACAAAATAACGTGTTAAAGAAAAAAAATGGTCATTAAACACATTAACATTAAGTTGATGGTTGTTGATCCTTTGACTAAAGGCATGTCACTAAATAATTTTAAGGGTCATGTGGCATGGATGTGATTTGGTTCCATGATATGACATTCTCATAAGTACATTTATTGTTTTTGATAAGATTCTTATTCAATTTGATGTTTTCTCATTTATTTTGTGCACGTATGTTTTGAGAAATATCATTTACTTTTGACATGGGGTAAACATATGGTTTATTCATTAATTTAGAGAGCTAATGTGAGAGACTTGATATATTGTGATACATAGGAGATAATACCTACTTTTAGAGGAATTATCACCATGATTCATATATTTTTGTTTCTTGTTTTGCCAAATAATAGATTAAATGAACCAGGTGGGAGAATGTTGGTTACTTCATTCTTAATAGGAGCAGATGTGCCCTTTAGTTTAGGAGAATATTTCCAATTTTAAAATATTATGATTTTCAAGTGGAAGTTATTTCTAATGTGGTATATTGTTAGTTTAGGTTCAACCATTATCCTTGCAACAACTATATGGATATATCTACTATCTCGTACGTGGAATTTTTTTTGTTGAGTTTTGTGATGAATAAAACTATAGATAAGGAGTGTGTTGTTTTTCACGAGTCACTAAATGTGCTCTTAACTATATCATACAATACCACCATGTATTAAAAGTAAGGGTTTGAAATTGGTATGGAGGGATTTTAACACGAGTTAAAACTAACTCTTAGTAGATAGTAATAACTAGAGGTTAGTTCTTTGTGTTTTGTTTTTTTGCTTTTGCTTAATTTAATTATGTTGTTTTTAATATGTCTAACATGTTTAGATTGATATTATGTCTATAACATCAACCATAATAAAGAATGTAATAAATGCATTCGTTAGCTACAAATGATATGTTTAATCTGATATAATAAGACTTAATTTGATATTGATTTTACATGATCTCATGCAATTGTCTCATACATTATTATGTTTGTTAACATAAAATATTGATTTTGAGATATTGTTGAAATTAGATGTAAAATAGGAATTAATGAGTGAAGTCTACCCAAACTTACTCTTCTAATAAATAGATTCCTTATATTTTGAGAAAATATCAACTTATTATAAGAATAAGTTTAGGTAAATTATTTCAATCAATAATTCATATTTTACATTTAATTTTTACAATCTAACAATTAAATTAAAACATCTTTATATATAGACAAAGTCTATAAATTTTTATAAAATTTAAAATTATTTAATATTTTATTTCATTAAGTTAAATTAATGTGTATTATACTTTTATGAACTATTCCAAGTTGTACAAAGAGAAAAATATTATATATATTATTAATAAATGTGATATGTCTTTTTGATATATACATTTTGTTAATTATTTTATTTTTTAAGTTTCAAAATGCTTTTTTTTTTCTCACATTCTATTTATTTAGTTTTTATTATTTTTTCTTGACTTTTTTTAAAAATTTATTTTCCAAACCTCTCACAACTTCTAATTTCCTAATTAGTTACACATATTTAATTTAATTATTTTTATTATTTTCTAAATAAAACACATAGAAATATGAAGTATTTTTTTATATTATAATTGATAACAATTTATTAAAAAATAATATCATATTTGATTTAAGAGAAAAAAATCTATCTTATTATTAGATAAATTTTTTATATATTATCGAAGATAAAAAAATTACAAACTTTTTTTTCTAAAAATGCTCCGTTAAAAAAAAAAAACTTCATTCTTGGCAGATAATAATGGTTAAAAACAATGCTCAAAATAACCTTTATAACTTATACATAGGAAAATAATAATATAAACAATAAATATTTATCAATAATTAAAAATATTTCTAGATAACAATATAAATGATAAAAAATCAAAATATAATTTATTATATTTATTATAAATTTTAACTATAATATTATTTATATAAAAATAATTATTTATTACACAAAATAAAAGTTTTCTTGCACATGTTAAAATTCTTAGCTATTACATTATTTAATTACTTAAAGAAAGAAAAGTGTTGCAATAAATCGCGAAAGCTTGATAAGAAGAAATAGTTGGGGTTTAAAGGAGAGGGTAGTGGTTCTTCTCTTCTCTCTGCAACCTGCAATGGTTTCGCTACCAACATGGTGTCGCTACATTGCCCACAAGCTCGAATACTCCGTTTCCCTCAGCTGGAAGGTCCTTTTTTCTTCCCTTAATCTCTATGCCTCACTTTCTTTCTTTTTAATCTTCTCATAATTCTCCTTTATATTTCTTCAAGCTTTTCAATGTCAAGTGAACGATTGGTATTTTCTGGGGAATTTTCATTTCTCGCAGTATATGAATTTATTTAAAATGCTGTGATGTCCTGCTTAGTGTATTTGTGGTGCTTTCATTAGGGTTTAGTCTTGCAGATCAGGGTCGATTGTTGTGTACTCGTGTTAGAGGATTTTGGAACTGCTTGTTTCCGTGTGTTTTTAACGAATGCGAATCTTTGTGGGTGGATTTTACGCGTGATGATAGAATCTCTCGGCTTGAACATTTCACGAATGATGTTTTTTTGTGATTGTTAGAGGGAATTGATGGTTGCGGGCGTGTACATTTAAAATTGTATTGCTGTTTAAGTGTTCAGCTTGATAAATTGGTAATGGTGAGGAGAGTTTTGTAATTTGGGTCTAAGGTAAGATTCTTCTCATAATTGTTCTATAAGATCTAACAACACTTTTCTTGTTTATTTACAACGAGATCTTTGCTCTTGGTTCAACATTTCTCGCTGAATTCTTCGTAAATAAGCACTATAACTTGTTAGGTCATAAGATGCGGAGGAAAATTACTGAATGGAAAAATTTTGCTTGTCCTAAAATCAGGAGCTGACTAGTTTGAAATAAATCATATTTGGAGTTCTCATGTCATGACATTAGAATTGTGGCTGAAATATTAAAGCTGAGAAGTTTAACTACTGTATATTACATCAAAGTGAATAAGTCTAACCGTATGTCTAAACTGCCTTGGTTAAGAGGAAATCATAACCCTTCAAACACCTTTTCTTATACTTATTTTTTGTTGTACAATGGGTATCATTCAAACAGTAGGTCTTCTCCACTCCCATGTAAACTGTATGCAGTGTTGGGGGATGTGTCAGTGGCTTGGGAACCAGTTTCTATATTATTTTATGGTTATTGAGGGAAACATTAGATAAGAGGTGTTGGAGGGCATGTGATTTCTAAGATTACACTTTTATCTTGGAAAGAATTTTCTTTTAGTTGTTAATCATATAATAAATAGAATAATCATGGGTTTCTTGGGATCTGTTAAATTATCAGGATTAATATTGTCTGAGTCTATACACAATTGCCCATAAAAATTCTTCTCTTTTTCCATTAAAGATGTTGAATTTGTGCTATTTGAAATTAAAATGATTATCTGAGGGCACATCTGGGACATAGCAGTGCGAAAAGCATATTTTAGCTCAATTAGATATTGAAGAGGAGTTAGCATTTTGAACAATTCTGAAGTTATCAACATTGGGAACAATGATAAAATTGTCAACCAAACAATGACATTAATAAGAATATTTTTCCTTGTAGTTTAAGTTCTACGAATGTGCCAGTGCAAGGTTTACCTGTTTTCCTCTTTTCTGCAGCTGTTTATCACATTGTTATCACTTTTATTTTGAAGTCCCTTCCTTTGCAATGTTTTTTTACTATTCAATGTTTAATGTGAACAGAACTACAAAGGAGGTCAAATTACAGACAGAGAATTTGGCGATGTTGTTTGGAAAAACTTTTTTCAAGGAAAGATGACATACTTGCATTGGAATAAAGGAGAGGAGATGGCACCTACGATCGATGGAAAATCAGTTACCCTTATTCGGAAATTACCAACTGCAGACCCAGCGTAATTTCACATTCATCTAATATAACATACACTATTGTTTTGTGCAAATCTATTGACTTTTATTGCTAGTTGTTTATATGAGCCTTCTAAAGCTAGATATGCAATATAGATGCTTTACATAAAAATCTTCTATATGTTTTTATATGTTTTTCTTAGACTCTTGGGATGCTGTGTCACCTTCTTTAGAAACTGTTTTAGTCTCTTATTTTCTTTTCAATGTCTGTTGATATAGAACCCTGCCTTTTTTACAACTTTCCCATCATATATTTGTCGTAGTGGACTCTTATAGACTTGTTTTTTTTTTTTTTTGTTAATTTATAGTTTACCCATTGTGGTTTGGTGTCATTATTAGGGTTGTTCAAAAAACTATATTAAACTAAACTATTGTAAAAACTAAACTAAACTAAACTAAACTAAAAAAAACTAAACTAATTTTTATAAAAACTAAACTAAACTATATTTGAAGTTTAGTTTTAAAAACTAAACTATTATAAAAAGTAGTTTAGTGCACTTTAACTATTAAAAAAAAACTTATAACTAGGAAATGTTCTAAATAATTAATTAGAACCTATGATGCACGGATACGATACGCGTATTGGATACGATACGTATCCGATACGGCGATACGTCAAATTTTAAAAATATAGGATACGATACGTTTAGGATACGTATTAAAAAAAATTAATATATATAAAATAGTAATTGCAAATAAATATTATTCAAAAATTAAAATTAAGAATACATTTCTTGCTTTTTAAATTTTAAATATTACTAAAAAATAAATTATAAAATTAAATAAAGGTACAAATAGCACAGTAAAATATAAAAAAGAAAAAAAATGAAATGGTAATAGACTCAAAAATATTTTGCTTAGATTTTAATTTTTTTAATATTATATGCACCTTTTAATTAATATTTAAATATTAAACTTATTTTAAAATTATATTTTAATATTATAATTTTATCAAAAAAACATGAAGCATGTCACTGACCGTAAAAGTGAAATATATACGCATCAGATAAGTTTTCTCCCCGGCCCCCCCCCCCCCCCACCACATAACCAACCCCCAAAAAACAAAGTCGAGACCAGAGCATGACCGGAAGAATAACGGAGAAAAGGAGATTATATGCTTTACCTGGGTCTGGTGTGCGGTTGTCTTCTAAGTCGGATTCGGTGCCTAAACGCAGCAGCAAATCCTATCTGGCTTTGGAATGCAAAGTATCTCCCTCTCAAATTTGTGTTTTCTTCCTATTTTATAGTTGATTTTCGAATATTTTCGTTCTGGGTACAAATCTGAATTTTTTTTTTTTTAATAGAATCACTGCGGATACGGATGAGATACGTATCTTTCACGTATCAAAACGTATCGGATACGTATCCGATACGGATACGAGATCAATTTTCACGTATCCGTGCTTCAGAGATTAGAACTAAACTAATAAATAATTACATTGAATTAAAATAGAAAAAACTAAATTATTTTTATAAAAATTGAACTAAAATGAATTTTATGTTCAGTTTTATAATTCTAAAACTATTTTCTAAAGAGTAGTTTGTTAGATCAAACTATTAATAAAACTGAATTCTTATTATTAATACCTTTTTCGTAGCTTTTCAATTTTGCCTATTGTCCACTTTTGAGTATACTAGTGGTTTAGTGTTATTAATTGAATAAAAATTTATATACCTTTCATAATTATTACTCTTTCAATATTTTTAATATAATTATTATAAAAATTAAAAAAAATGTATTATATATGTATGTACAAACTTCTCTCTTTATTATCCAAATAATTTTATTTTTGATGCTAAAAAATATTATTATTTTATTATAAAAAATTATAATATTAATTAATTGAGTTTAACAATTGAGTTTACAACATTATAAAAGTAACGGTATACATTTTTATAATATTTTTTAAAATTCATACTATTTTGTAAAGAACGTATTAACTTAAAAAAATAGTTACATGTAATATTTAGATATTGTTTTTAAACTTTTTTATTTAATAATTAATAAGATCAGTAAATTGATTAAAAATTAATAAGATTTGATTGATTTTCAAAAAATATGAATGAAAAATCTATCATGTGGACTTTTATCAATATTATACTTGTTTTACATTTCAAACTATTTTAAATTTAATTCATAATTAATATCAATGATTTTGTAGCTCAATTTAAAAATGTTAATTTTAATTTTTTTTTAATGTAGTTCAATTTAGTTTATAGTTAATAATAGTTTAATTTAGTTGATATTATAGTTTAGTTCAAACTCCTAGAACTATAGTGCACTAAACTAGATAATAGTTTAGTTTAGTTTAATCAATATTTATTTTAGTTCAGTTTAGTTTTGTGAACTATTTATTATAGTTTAATTTAGTTTTCCTTTAGTTTAGTTCAATTCAGCAATTTGAACACCCCTAGTCTTTATTGAACATCTGTGTATAACAATTTAAGTTTACCAACTTTATCTAGACAAAAGTGAATTAAATTGCATGGACACATCATTTTGGTGCTGTGTCCATCCAAGACAGCAGAATGACAAACATATATTTAAACATTGAAAGGGGGAAGATATACAGAGGTTGAGTCTGTTTTGAGCTTTTGAGCAGTTTTTAATAATAAAAAAGAAATTGAGCCAGGGAGTGCTTTTGGCTTGTACTGTTTTCATTTGCCCCAAATTGTTCATTTCATTTTGGCACATATAATATATACGATGATTGTAAAAAGAGAGAGAGATATGTAAAGAAAATTTTTCCTTCGTGTTGAATAGTTACAATACTAAGTGTGTACATATATAAATACTTATACATGGGCTTATAGGCCCAAACTTCCTATATACATTAATATCCCCCCCAAGTTGAAGCATATCGATAATGTCCAGTACTGCACTTAGCTTGCTACAAATAAACTCAATTCAATAGAGTGGAGATAAGGAGTGGAATGGATAGTATTTTATTATTTGAATTGGTGGCAAGGAGTGGTATTTTATTATGTTCCATTGTTTGTTGTCAAAATGTTAATGGAATGGAATGACAACTAATGAAATAGATTCCATCTAATTCCATCTCATCTCCCCATTTTTTGTTCCTCTTGATTTGGAGGGTATGCAATGGAGTGGTAATTTTCGTTACACTCTGCATAAAGTACTCAAACAATGGAGTGATATTTTTACTCCACTTAGTTCCATTTCATTCTATTCCACTCCATTACATTCCGTCCTGCTCTGTTCACCACTAAATATCCAAAGCAGTGAAAATGTTAGCTAACTGTTCATTGGAATTAATGTATCTAATGACTATAATTATACAACCAGAAAGAACTTTTTCTCTGATAAAATGACTATCCACTTTGACATGGTTGGTCCTTAAGTCCTTTCATGAAAGATCAGGTTGGAGGCAATATGGAGAGCAGTCTCACTATTATAGAATGATAGAACAACTTCATTCAAGAGACTTTTGTATAGTTCTTGTATTTGTCTCTTAATCCATATGAGCTCACATGTGACATGCGACCAAGGCCATATCACGAAACTCAGCCTTAGTAGCAGTAGATCTAGCTACAACCTCCTACTTGTTACTTTTCCATGATACAAGATTATCTCCAACTAGAACATAGTACCTTGAGGTAGAATGACTGTCAAAAAGGGACCTTTCCCAATCACACTTGAACATAGTACCTTAACCAAGAGGAGACCCCTTGACATACCTCAAAATGCAAATTGCTGCATCCCAGTGACTATCACAAGGAGACTGAAGAAACTAACTCATGCTAAAAGTCTGAAACAACCAAAAGATGTCTGGACGAGTGATGGCAAGATAGTTTAGCTTACCAATTAGTCTCTGGATCAGTCAATGACTCCCCTTAACCTGGCAGAAACTTAACATTAGGATCCATAGGATTGTCTATTGGTTTGTAATCTAACTTGCTAGTTTCCTCAAGAATATCAAATACATAGTTACATACTTCTTTTGAGAAAATGCAATGCCAGAGTTAGATTGAACTACTTCAATACCTAAAAATTATTTGAGTGAGCTCAGATATTTGGTTTGAAAGTGATGGAATTTGTGTTGCATTAGTTTATCAATGCCAGCTTGATCATCTTCAGTTATGGCAATGTCATCAACATTAACAAGCTGATAGATGCATTTTCTTTGAGAATTATGCGTATAGATGATTGTATTATTAGAATCAAATTGTAACATACTAAACACTTGGATGACAGCTGAATCTTCCAAACCAAGCTTAAGCAGAACACTTTAAGCTTTGAAAATAGTGACAAAGTTTACAAACTTGATTAGACTCCTCATGAACAATAAAACTAGTAGCTTGCTCCATATAAATCTTGTAGTGAAAGGTCACCATCAAGGCATTTTTAAATTTTAATATCAAGCTGAAACAAAGGTTAAGAGTGCACGACAGCCATGGATTAGAATAGGTGAACAAATAACATCTCGTCAACAAGAAAAAAGTAAAGCTTGAGGTATCCCATAGCAAGCAGACAAGCCTCTAGTTGATCAACCTGACTACAGGGACCAACTTTCAATTTATATGCATCACAAACGAAAAAGCCAAATGCTTCAATCTATGTGACAATCAAGGTTACTTATGAAAAAATTATCACTATCTTTTCATTCCATTCCTTGTTAAGCTGTAATATATAATCATCTTGGTTTGGACTTTTTCCATTTCCATTATGTTTCTCTCTCTTATTTATTTATTTATTTATTTTTACTTTTTAGTGCTTATTTCTTAGTCAATAACACAGGGTGAGCCTTGGTGCAACATTAAGTTTAGCTTCCTTGTAACCTAGTGGTCAGGTGGTTCTTGTGGAAATAGTCTTCCCACTCACAGTATAAGAATCTGGTTGAATGCATCTAACTCTCCCCAGACCCTATACTTGTTGTGGCCACTCTATAGTCAATAAAATGGATGCTGTGAGGAATGCTGAAATGTTGATTCAGATCTCTTTTTCAGTTCAGATAATGGTTTCTTTTTAATATGTGGCCCATGGAGATTAGTGTCAGAGACTGATTCAGTTCAAATAATTGTTCTTAAATGGCTGGGCAAATATATGATAATCGAGTCTATAGTTTGTGACTGATTGTAAGTTCTTTGTTGTAACATGATTCCCATCATTAATTTGACTATTTGAGTTGCTTCAGTTGTGTTAATATTAACTAAGAATTTTACTTTGTAAAGATATTATAATTCTTTCATTTTCCAGCATTTATTAGTTTGGTAGTTGAAACTCTGAGCTGGTTCTTAACTGTGTGTCTATGTCATATTATATCTTGAATATGGTACTGTTTTAATAGGAGTGCTAGCAACACATTCCCTCTAACACACTCTCTTGTATTGGTTAACATTTATTGAAAATTACAAAAAATGAGAGGTTCATTAGATAGGATGTGAGGCTGAAAATTTTTTATGATTTTTTTCAATAAATTTCAACCAGTTGGAGGGAGTGTGTTGAAAATAATGTGTTTTTAGCATTTCTAATTGTTCTAGTTTAGAGGCACGGCTGGTTTCAGCAAATGTTATGTATAAAACTATAAAATACATTCCCTCCAGTGGTGCGATGAACTACATGCTCCTCATGTGCAGTGGTTATGTGTAGAATTGCTATTTTTTTGAATTTGTTATCAGGTTGAAGCTTATGGATGGTATGAATCGTGATCTCTAAAAAACAATAAGACTGCCAACTGACTCTGGCAGTTTAAAAAATATTGAAACTGGGTCTTGCTCCAATAGGTTCTTGGTATTCTTTAGTTTTTCCAAAAAAACTTGGAGATTGACTGATAATTGACTTTGTCATCTGGAGCTCATTAATTAGTGTATTTTCATCTCCATTATTTGTTAGTGACAGACATGCTTCTTTGACAGGCGTGTTTTTGTAGGAGATGTTGTGGTTTTGAAGGACCCTGAGAAGCCAGATAACTACCTAGTCAGAAGATTAGCTGCGATTGAAGGTTATGAAATGGTTTCTACCGATGAAAAGGATGAACCCTTTATTCTTGAAAAGGATGAATGCTGGGTAGTGGCTGAAAATGAAAAAATGAAAGCCAAGGTAACATCTGCTTACTTTTCTGGTAAACTAGTTGACATTGACAAATACTATCACAGTATTACCTTTGCTATCACTAGGTGGATCAACATGCACCTCCACTACAATTTGAAACACTGTGATTATATTAATGTCATAACAAAAGTTTTAGATTAAAATTTAATGCTATGAGATCATAGTATCATTGATATACAAGCTTTTGAGGTGATCATGCACTTGTAGTTATTTATATTTTCTGAAATTAGTGTATAAAATTGACGTGATAACTAGATTGTTACGAAATAAAACCACAGTTTGATTGGTTAAAATATTTCTCTATGATGAATTAGTAGATGGTGTAAGCCAATACTTATACTTTTGGCAACAGCTCTTACATTATTGTCAGGATCCATATTTCATTTTTCAGTTAAACCTCCTCTTCATTTTTAGGACAAGAAAATGATATAGACCACAGCTTGGCATGGCAATTCAATTAAGCAGATTTTGGAATTCATTCTATGATACAGCTAGAGGTCATATATGTTTGCCCATGTTTCAGTTCATTCAATGACTTTTTATCATTTTTTGGTAATCCAGAAATAGCTTATTCCTAAAAAATAAGTGTAGTAGTAGTAACCTGAAGAAGAAAAAAAAAACCCTCCAACAGAAAGAAAAAATTTTCTGCCAATTATTTTTAGTGTCCAACTCTCAGTATTTTCTATGTAGAACCGTATAGTTAAGTGAGAACTGAGGATAAAATTAATTTTGAACCTCATATTTTCTCTCAACCCAAATGGCAGGAGGCGAATGATAGCCGAACATTTGGTCCAGTTCAGATGACAGACATTGTAGGCAGAGTCATATACTGCCTGCGAAGTGCTGTAGACCATGGCCGTATACAGAACAGGTGAACAAAATTTCTTAGTCTAATTTATCATGCACAACCGGGCGTGCTCTTTCGAATTGATTATTGATGTATTTTAACCCTTAACCAGTTATTTCGGCATGAAAAAGGATACGCCAGTGTTGGAAGTGGAACTTGATGTTGATGAGATGGCAAAGAATCAAAAAGTCTGAACTTTTTTCCCGAGAAACACTGACTAGTTTACTTTACGTATGCCTTAGTTTCTTCTTGTGGACTTTCCATGAAGCACAGATGCAGAATAAAACATGATTTTTAAATTGTTGCAATGGGGATGGTGGTGTGTCCTTAGCATGCTAGGCAATTGGCTCGTTCTTCCCAACCACCAAATTTGAAGCGGCCTGTGTTAAAGCTCGAGCTCAACATTATTGTAAGCCAAGTTCTAGCAAGGACTTATTTTGGTCTGTATGTTTGGCTCTATTCGTAAGTCATCATTTGGCTCAAAAATTGACCAAATTTTGGTCTGTTTGATATGATGGTTTCAAATATTTTCATTCTGTTCGCTGCTCAATGAATATGGTAAAAAGTTGTTGTGAAGTCCTGGTCTTGCCATCTGAGTTTCAAGGGGATGATCCTTGATACCTGTTTTCTTTAGTCAGTTGAGTGAGTTTTACGAAAAAAAAACATTGAAGTTAAACTTTAACTGAATCACGCTTTACAAACGCGTTCTTGTTTTTAATCAAATTTATTTCCATTTCTTTTACTCCTCTGCGATGGTTAATGTGACGCATTTACAGGCACAATTTATTCTTCACAAATGATCATTCTCGATTTGGGAGTCAAGTATTTCGTATTTTCTATTGTGTTGGTTCAAAATCATTATGGTAATTGGTTGAATTTTAACATAAAAATAAAGTACTCATTTTTATTTTTATCTACACTTCTTGATAGATAATTTTTTTTTGTTATTGTATTCTTTTCTTGTCCAGTTTAATCTTTTTTAGCACTTTTTTTAAAAAAAAATTAGATTATTAATCGCTCTTTACGATATTTTATTCTGTTTTCTAATTTTGTTTGATTATACCCTTGAGATATTTTTTTTTTGTTAAATTTTAATATTAATTTTGTTCATTTTATTCTCAAATATCAACTAACCTACTGTTCCAAAAAAAAAAAAACTGATGTATTGCTGTATTTGAATGTTAACTTAAGAAAATTATTTTGAAAGCAACTTGTGTATTTAGCCTTTTTTTATTCTTTTAAAAGGGATACATGTCATCATTCATTAACTCTTCTTTTAAATCAGTATTTTTAATTTTAATATGTGATGCTTGTTTATTATATACAATTATATATAAATAAATATTTTTAAATAAATATTTTATATTTTAAATTTATAATAAATAATTTATATTAAAGAAAAAAATTATTTTTATTTATTGATGATTTATTTTACAATATTAATATTTAATTCATAAATAATTATGATAATAAAAATTAAATTAAATAAAAAGTTAAAAGAATTTTTTTTTGTTACAAGAGAGAAATAGAAGAAAACAAAACAAAGAGACCAACAACTAAGTGTCAATTAAACTAAAAATGCGGCACCAACGTGCTTACAGCATCTGCTAAAAGCAACGAGTTCATATCATGTGGGGGCATCTTCTAGAATCTGTAGTCTGACTAATAATACATGTATAAGATTACAATTCCATTGTCTCTCCATCATTTCCTTAATACATGCTAATAATACTACATATCTATGATGACTCGATATGGTCCCGTTGATCAATTGAACCACATATAGGCAGTCTTATTCACACCTGACATGGGTGAAACCTCTAGCCCAACAAATTTCCAAGCCCTTCAACAAGGCCATTATCTCTGCATGGATGTTGTTACTCACCCCAATACTGCCATAAAATCCTAAAATGAATTTCCCTTCATGATCCCGTACCAAACCACCATACCCTGAGTCTCCCGGATTGGTTAAAGCACTTCCATCAACATTCAATGTTACGTTACCCATGGGAGAAGTGAAGGTTCCCATCTCACTATACGAATACTACCATAAGATCATCCTCCTATACCAGTTGCATGCCCATAGCCTTTAATAATATGCATGTGATGGCTATATCATCCTCCTATATCAAACTCACTTTTAACCCCGAAACATTACAAAACTCCTTCAGCACATGCGTGATTTGACGAACTTGTGATGGCTTTGCTTTAGCAAATAACAGAAGATCATGAGTAAAAAAACAGGTGAGATATGCGAGGTCCATTTTTCGAAATTTGAATAGGGTCCCACCTACCTTTCTCTACTTCAGAAACAATCATGACTCCTAGTCTCTCCGTACACAATACAAAAAGATATGGAGATAAAGGGTCTCCCTGCCGTAACCCTCTCATATGGAAAAATGCAGGTGCCCTACTCCCATTCCATAGTACAAAGATCGAATTTGAAGTGATTCCATGCATAATGAGCGAAACAGTTGTTGGAATATAAATTGATTTTGTATGTTGGGCTTAAAAAGTGGTATCTTTGGATATTAGCTTTTCAATGGCGTTGGAATCACCTAAAAAGGAGGTCTATAACTCCAGATATGGCTGTTTTAGTGAAGAGGGGTCAAGCTACCAGCATTGGTTATAGCTGTTGCGGTTTTTAGAATTTTTAACAAGGTAGATGAAGAAATTAGGACTTGGTGTCTTCATGAGAGTTGTAGGAAATCTTCTTATCTTTCATATGGGATAAGTAAGGGTACGATATAAGTAGTATAACTCCTGATACGTTGTTTTATGTGAAGGTTGTCATTTCACAATGAGTGATTTGGATAAGTTGATAGTTGTTTTGGGTGTTTAAATTATTCATGTTGTTATATATGATAAATTGTTGAAAAATGTTGAATATTGTGATATGATGAGCAGATGTAGTTGTGTATTTGTAAATAAATATTGTATGTATCATTTGGATAAGTTGCTTTGTTGCAAAAACATGTTGTTAAACACTGTTGAGAAGTTGTTAAGCTGTTGAATTGATCATGTTGTTTAAGTTGTTGAACTGAGTTGTGCTGTTGAGTTGTAAGCTAATTAAGCTATGGTGATGAGTTGTTGATCACTAGGATTAGGGGAGATGTTTTTGAATTTTCTCATCCCATTGTGTGGATTGAGATAATTGTGGTGCTTAAAGAGCCCAATTTGTTGAAAACCCTCCTTGGGAAGTTGTCCCTTGGAGTGGACGTTGTGTTGTTCTCCTCTAGGACTTAGTTGGTCCCATGTGTGGGCAAGGTCGAGGCACATGTGTACAAAGCGACCACGGTATAGGGGCCAAGTCAAGCTATACCGATTACAAGCGGCCAATTCGAGTAAAGTACGAAGTCGGGAACTTAGTTCCTAATTGAGTATCGGAGGGTTGTAGTATTTGGAGGATAGTCGGTAGGCTAATTCCATAGGTGGCTTAGTTGAGCTAGCTAATGTCATGGTAGGCCTAAACCCAGTTGTTATATCTTGACATAGTACTATACTTCCTTGTTTAAGTGGTAAAGTCTGAGAAGTCGTTATTGTGATGTGGATTGGCATCCAAATTTTTTGTTTACCTAGCAAGCCCAAAAAGGTTCTTTACTGTCAGTTCGGTAGGACCTAGCCACTTAAACTGCTCACCCATGTTGTAGGAGATCTCCGAGTTGAAATGCGTGACGACACATAAGCTGTTGATATGTTTAATTGATGTTGATATGAGTTGTATATGTGTTGTTGTGTTGTGAAGCTGTGTGTTGAATCTATGGAGAATGATGATGGTGCTGTTAAGTTGAAGGCTGCTTATATATATAACTATATGTTGATTTCTTTTTCACTAGCTTACCCTTGCATGTTTCCATGTGGTTTGGATTGCGATGATCATATTGTGTATGGGAGCAGAGCAGGGATAGGTTGGAGAGTAGTAGCAGGGCTGCAGGTGGTAGTAGGAGCTGATTTTGTGTAGGCTACTTGGGGTAGCATTTTGTTAGTATTAGATATACTTTGACTTGTTGAGCCCCAGGCTAGATATATGTATATATATATATATATATATATATATA